GCGGGGGCGGCAGGAGGCGGCCGAGGCCCGGGCGAGGGCGCCGGACCGGGGAGGCCTCGCGCGCGGCATCGGCGGCAGCCGCGGCGGCGACGTCGTCGACGAGACCGACGACGGACGCGGCGATCGCGGCGATCTTAGGCCCTCTGGAGTCAGGGAGAGGTTTCTCGGTGTTTTCTCGCTGTTTTCGCTGTTTTTTCGCTGTTTTCTCGCTGTTTCTCGCTGTTTAGGATACCGACGGAAGGTTTCTCGCCGTTTTCGGCCTCTGGGGGCCCTCAGCGGGCCTCGGGGCCGTCCGAAAATCACGCGGGGTGCAAAGCTGGCCCTGGGGAGAGGGTCGAGACCTCCGGAGGTCGACGTCATGAAAGCAGTCATGACGTCGGGGGTCTGGGATCGCGACGATCCCAGATCCCCTGGAGTCATGAACTGAATAACGACGGAAGGTTTCTCGCCAGACAGCTGCCTGCAGCAAGCCCCGCCACCGTGCCAGCCCAGCATTCTCGGCGGCTCTCCTTCGAGGGGGCACCGGAGGCCGTGCCTGCGAATGATGAGGATCAGGATCAGGATCAGGATTAGGATCAGGATCAGGATGAGGATAAGGATCAGGATCAGGTTCAGGATCAGGATCAGGATGATGACGATGACGATGACGATGACGATGACGATGACGATGACGATGACAATGACGATGATGATGATGATGATGATGATGATGATGATGATGATGATGATGATGATGATGATGATGATGATGGTGATGCTGATGCTGATGCTGATGCTGATGCCGATGCTTATGATGACAATGATGATGACGGTGATGACGATGCTGCTACTGATGATGATGATGATGATTGGTGATGGTGATGATGATGACGATTATGATGGTGATGATGATGCAGATGATGATGGTGATGATGATGATAGTAATTATGATGATGATGATAATGATGATGGTGCTGACGGTTGGTGATGATGCTGACGATCATGATCGTATTCATAATGATGGTGGTGGTGACGATAATTGATGATGACGATTGATGATGATGCTGATGCTCTTAAGGATGATGGTGATGATGAGGGTGATGATGTTATGGATGATGATGATGATGATGATGATGATGATGATGATGATGATGATAAGGATGATGCTGATCATGATGATCATGCTCACGGTCATGATTATGATGATGATGATGATGATGAGGATGTTGTTGTTGCTGATGCTGATGCTCATGGTAATGCTGATTGTGAGGATGATGAGGAGGAGGATGAGTTTGATGTTCATGCTGATGTTGATGTTGCTGCTTCTGATGATGATGTTGATGATGACGATGCTGCTGATGCTAATGTTAATGCTGATACTGGTGATGATGGTGGTGGTGATGATGGTGGTGGTGATGATAATGATGATGAGGAGGAGCATGATGATTATGATAAGGATGAGGATGCTGCTGCTGATGACGGTGATGGTGATGCTGATGCTGATGATGATGATGCTGATGCTGACGCTGATGCTGATGATGCTGATGATGCTGCTGATGATGATGACGCTGATGATGATGCTGATGATGATGATGACGATGATGATGATGACGATAATGATGCTGCTGATGATTATGATGATGCTGCTGCTGATGATGATGCTGATGATGATGATGACGATGATGATGATGATGATGGTGATGATGATGATGATGATGATGATGATGATGATGATGATGATGATGATGATGATGATGATGATGATGATGATGATGATGATGATGATGCTGTTGGGAACCTTCCCGGGGGCTTGTTGGAGGAGGCAGTTTCGAGGCCTCTTGGGGGCCGTCTGGCGGTCTCTTGGAGGCCTCTTGGGGGCCTCTTCGGGCGGAAGGCTGGAATTGTCGGTTCGTGTTCTCCCTCTTGTGGCCGTCTTGGGGCCGTCGTGGGGCTCTTTTGGGGTGAGTTGGGCGCCTCCTGGGCTGCTTTGGAGCTCTCTTAGGCCGTCTAGGGAGGAGCGTCGGAAGCTTGAACAGGGGGTAACGTGAGAACATAGAAACACGCACAATGACAGTCATTGATGTTTGCCTCGTGGGGTCCTCGTGGGGGTCCTCTTGGAGCGCTCTCGGGCCTTCTTTGGGGCTTTGGGGCCTCTTAAGCGGTCTTGGAGGCATATGGGGCCATCTTGGCGGCTTTGATGGCCTCCCATGTCCGTCTTGGCAGCGATCTTGGGGATTTGGGGCGCCTTGGAGACCGCCAGGGACGTGTCTGGGCGCCGACAGAGCCTCCGGAAGAGGGGTTGGTGCACGCGACGTGGTGCGGCCCGGAGGGGGGGGGGGGTCCCTAGGAAGACTACAGATACCCTACCAGACAGCACTTGGCCTTCTAGCACGCATCAACGTGACCAGGGGGCACCGTGGCGGATTTTCGGCCTCTGGGGGCCCTTACCCGGCCTCGGGACCGTCAGAAAGCGACTCGGGATGCAAAACCGGTCCCGGGGAAGGGGTCGAGACCTCTGGGGGTCGACGTCGTGAACAAAAATCATGACTTTGGGGGTCTGGGATCGCGGCGCCGATCACGACGAGAGGAGTCGGGGCGAGGAGTAGGAGGAGGAGGAGGAGGAGGAGGAGGAGGAGGAGGAGGAGGAGCAGTAGGAGGAGGCGGAGGAGGGGGCTTAGTGCAAAAGACGACGAGTAAGTGAGGACGAGTAGGGGTTGTAGGAGGGGCGCAGAGGGAGGTAAGGGGAGTAGGGAGGGCTGGAGGAGAGAGGGAGCGATCGACGGATGGGATGGAGGGATGGATCGGATGAGGGAGGGGAGGGAGGCTGGGGGGGGAAGGACGAGTTTGATGTCGTGAAGGAGAGGAGTAGACGAGGAGAAGGAGGGAAGAGAGAATATGCGGAGAAAAGGAGGAGGAGCGAAGGGAGGATAAAAAAAGAGGAGGAGGTAGACAGGGAGGGAGACGAAGATAATGTCGGAGGAAGGGAGGCGGAGGAGGAGGAGGGAATGATGCGGAGAGGGGTAGTGAGGCGGAGTGGGAGTGGGGGAGGAGCTCCGAACCTCCGCTCCAGGCGGCGCCAGGCGGCGGTCCTCCTTCTCGCCCCCGTCCTCCTCCTCCTCCTCCTCCTCCTCCTCCTCCTCCTCCGCCGCCTCCTCCTCCTCCTCTCAGTCTCCTCTTCCCTCGCTGCGACAAGATCACACAACTGCGGATTCTGTGGAGATGCCCGGCCCGACGGCGGCCTTCTGCTGGCAGAGAGGCTCGGGATGCAATGCTGGTCCTGGAGGTCCAGACTTCCGGAGGTCCAGGTTGTGAAAACTCGCGACGTCGAGGTTGTCTTCGCCATCGTGGGTCCAAGTTGTGGGTCGTCTTCGTCATCCTCCTTGGTTTCCTCTTCATCCTCCCTCGTTCTCCTCCTCCTGCTGCTGCTGCTCCTCCTCCTCCTCCTTCTTCTTCTCCTCCTCCTCCTGCTCCTCCTCCTCTCCTCCTCTCCTCCTCCTCCTCCTCCTCCTCTCCTCCTCCTGCCTCTCTCGTCCGCTGTCCTCTCTCTCCCCTCCTACTATCCTCCTCTCGCCTCCCATCTTCCCTTTTTACTGTCTCCATCCTCTTTCCCCTCTCCTCCTCCTCCTGCGCTCCTTCTCCTCCTCCTCCGCCTCCTCCTCCTCTCTCCTCCTCTCCCTCCTCTTTTCTCCTCCTCCTTCCTTCCCTCCTCCTCCTCCTTCTGCCCTCCTCCTCCTCCCGCCTCGCTCCTCCGCCTCCCTCCTCCTTCTCCTCCTCCTTCTCCTCCTGAAGATATCTCTGCTCCGCTTTCCTTCGGCCCTCGCCTCTTCCTCATTTATCCTGTTTCTGCTCTCCTCTAGTCCTGCCTTCCTCCTCTCTCCTCCCTCTTTCCTCCCTCGCCATACTCCTCCTTCTCCTCCTCCTCCTCTGCTCCTTTTCCTCTCCTACCTCCTTCTTCTCCTCCTTCTTCCTCCTCCTCCTCCTCCGTCTCCTGCTCCCAAAAGTCTTCCTCCTCCTCCCGTCCTCGTTTCCCTTCTCCTCCTCCTCCGTCCTTCTGGCTGCTTTCTGCTGTTCCTCCTCCTTCCTCCTCCTCCTCCCCCACACACCCCCCTTCCCCCCCTTTTTTTCCCCCCCCCCCCCCCTTTGTTTTCCTCCTCCTCCTCCTCCTCCTCCCCTCCTTGCCTCTTTCCTCCTCGTCCTCTCCCCTCCTCTATCCTCATCTTGCTTCCTCTATCCTCCCTTCTCCTCTCTCCAATCCTCCTCCTACTCTCCTTCACTCCTCCTCCTCTCCCTTCCTCCTTCTCCTTTTCTTCTCTCTTCTCCTTGTCGGCCGTCTCCTCCTCCTCCTCCTCCTCCTCCTCCTCCCCTCCTCCTCCTCCTCCCTTCCCTTCTCTTTCTTTTCTCCTTCTCCTTCTCCTTTTCTCCTTCTACCTGTCCTCCTCCCCTCCTCCTCCTCCTCCTTTTCCCCTCTCCTCCTCCTCCTCCTCCTCCTCCTCCTCGTGTTCCTCCTCCTCTTCCTCCTCCTCCTCCCTCACTTCCCCCCTCCCTTCACCTCCGCGGCCCCGACACCTGTCCACCTTCAGGACAGGTGGCCACTGGTTCTGGCGTGTAAGGAGGACAGTTCCAAGCTGAGACAGGCTTCCTCCTCGCTTCCCCCTCCTCTTTCCCCCCTCTCTCACTCCCCTCCTCTTCGCATTCTCATCCTCCCCTCGCCTCTTCCCTGCTTCCTCCGCGCACCACCACCCCTCCCTTAAGTGTCACGCCCTTACAGGATCACTGATGAACCATCTCCCCCTCCTCCCCTTCACTCCTCCCCAGAACTCCGACGTCGTGGACCCGCGCCACTCACAGGGACTGCTTTTTCATCCTGCGGCTGTTTTCTGACGGTCCCGGGGCCTGGCAGGCGCCCCCGGAGAAGGAGATTGGCCAAACATTGTCCGCGGCGCTGTTGTTCACAGCGCGAGGGCGTCTGAGCCTCCCCCCTCCCATCTCTTGCCTCCCCATCCCCGCCCCGGCCTGGCGGAGGCAGCTGCCACCATGGAGGAGTCCGCGCTGGAGCAGCCGAAGAGCTACTTCACGCACATCTCGCAGGCGTGACCCGCGCAGCCGCGCCGCCCCGACCGGGGGCGAGGAGGATCGGGTGACGCGGGGCCGTTTTTGTTTGCATACCCGCCCCCCGCCCTCCACCCCGTCGTTCGCAGCAGGGACGACCGCGGATGGAGTTCTGGTGCGAGCACTCGCTCAGAGCATCGGGGCCTTCCCCGCGTCTGGCCTCGTCGTCCTCCCCTCTTGCACCTCTGCCGCGGCAGCCGGAAGAAGGCTGCCTGCTGCTTCCGGTCTGCCTGCGGCCGACGGGCCGCCACGCCGCCCGTCCCGCCGCGCGGCCTCGCGTCTCGGGGAGGGCGCCGCGGCCACCGGGGCAGACGCCGCCTCGGAGGCGGTGGGCTCGCCGTGGGGCCTGCCGCGTGGCGGCGCCGTCTGCTTCCCAGACCTCCTCGCGTCGTGAAAAAAACACGACGGGAGGTTTTTCGCTATTTTCGGCCTCCGGGGGCCCTTACCGGGCCTCGGGAGCGTCAAAAAACAACTCGGGATGAAGAACCGGCCCCGGGGAAGGGGTCCAGACCTCTGGGGGTCGACGTTGTGACAAAAATCACGACGTCGGGGGTCTGGGTTGGGCGCGGGGCGCAGGGCCTGCCGTGGGTTCGCCGCGGTGTCGGCATCGTCCACTCGGGGCGCGCCGGGAGCCAAACGGCGCAGCGGCGCCTGCCGAGTTCGATTCCGCACGCTGCCTCCGTGGGCGCGCAGCGGTATAAGTTCGTGCTCGCTCGCCCATCTCCTCCTCCTCCTCCCTCCTCCTCCTCCCTCCTCCTCCTCCGCCTCCTCCTCCTCCTCCTCCTCCCTCCTCCGCCTCCCTCCTCCTCCTCCTCCTCCTCCTCCTCCTCCTCCTCCTCCTCCTCCGCCTCCCTCCTCCTCCTCCTCCCTCCTCCTACCTCCTCCTTCCTCCTCCTCCTCCTCCTCCTCCTCTCTCCTCCTCCTCCTCCTCCCCCTCCTCCTCCTCCTCCTCTTCCTCCTCCTCCCCCTCTCGAGCAGGAGATCGGCCACAGAAGTCTGGGCTTAAGTCGGGCCATGGTCTGCCCCGCGCCCGGGGGTATCACGGCCCTCGGCCTGCGCGCGGTCGCCACGCGCGCGCGGCCTGCAACGGGCGCCTGCTTCCCCCCGCCACGGGGGCGGCGAGGGGCGCGGTCCTCGCCTGCACACCTCCGCGGGGCTGCGGCCGAGTGGCCGTTGGGTGCGGCCCCACGGGGGTCCCCCGGCCGCCGCGTGCGGTGCGACAGCAGCGTCTGGCGCGCTCGGCGTTCGGCCGCCTCGCGCCCCCCCCCCCCCCCCCCCCAGAGGCCACTCTTGCGCGCAGCCGAGCTGAGGCGGTCAGAGGCGCAGCAACTGACGGGCCGATTTTCCACCACCACTACCACAGATAGGAGAGCGAGGAGGAGGAGGAACAGGAGGAGGAGCAGGAGGAGGAGGAGGAGGAGGAGGAGGAGGAGGAGGAGGAGGAGGAGCAGGAGGAGGAGGAGGAGGATGCTGCTGCTGCTGCTGCTGATGGTGATGGTGATGATGATGATGATGATGATGATGATGGATGATGATGATGATGATGATGATGGATGATGATGATGATGATGATGATGATGATGATGATGATGATATGATGATGATGATGATGATGATGATGATGATGATGATGATGAATGATGATGATGATGATGATGATGATGTGATGATGATAGATGATGATGATGATGATGATGCTGAGGAGAGAGAGAGGAGAGGCAGGAGGAGGAGGAGGAGGAGGAGGGAGGAGGAGGAGGAGGAGGGCAGTAGTCCGCCACGACTGCCAACAGCACGACCTCCGCCAGTACGAGCGCCCACTAATTTGCACGCCCGCCAACACGACCGCCCTGACCACCAGCAGACCGACCACCAACGCGACCACCACGACCTCAAGCTCCACCAGAAGGCCGACCACTAACACGACCACCACATCACAGCCAGCACGGCCGACTTCCAGCCTGACCACCGCCAATACGACCACCATCCTACGACCACCACTACGGACGCTGCCACCCCCCTCACGACCCCACGACCACCTCCGCCCCCCGTCCCCCCCCCTCCGCCCTCCTCTCCTGCCCCTGCCGGCCCGCCCCGGCCACTGCGCGTGTCTCGCGCCTGCCTCCCTTCTCTCCGCCTCCTCCTCCTCCTGCTCTCTGCGCTGCCCTCCCCCCGTCGGTCTCTTGCTGCTCTCTGCGCTGCCCTCCCCCCCGTCGTCCTCTTGCTCTTCTCCCCCCCGCCTCCGCGGGTGCCCCTTGCCCCGTCGTCGCGTCGTCCGTCTTCCGCTTCGTCCCTCGTCGCTGCTGGGGCGTGGCGTGTGCGGCCTGGCTGGACGGACACGCGCTTAGGGTGGCCCCGTGAGTGCTGGCGGGGGCGCCAGACCCGCGGCCAGCGAGCGGGAGGGAGGGAGAGAGGGAGGGAGGGAGGAGGAGGAGGAGGAGGAGGAGGAGGAGGAGGAGGAGCAGGAGGAGCAGGAGGAGGAGGAGGAGGAGGAGGAGGAGGAGGGAGGAGGAGGAGGAGGAGGAGGAGCTACCTCCTGCTCCTGCCCCCTCGTGCCTGCTCGCCGTCCTCGCCCTCCTGCCCCTGCCCCGGGGGCGGGAGGGGGATGGGGAGGAGTTGCCGGCCGCGCGCCCTCCCGCCTGCCCGGCCGCCCGGCCGCCAGGTCCAGGGCAAGGCGGGGCGCCGACCCCCGCGCGCCGCTGCGGACTGCCGCCGCCGCGCCGCCGCTGCGCCGCCCTGCGGAAGCCGGCCCTGCCGGCGCCCTGCCTGCGCCCTGCCGGCCCGGCGGGGCTCGGGGGCGGAGCCGGCTCTGCTTCGGGGGGGTCGGCATCTTGGGGGCTGCTAGAGGTGCCCCTGGCCCAAGACGGTGAGGAGGAGGAGGAGGAGGAGGAGGAGGAGGAGGAGGAGGAGGAGGGGCGCCAGACCCGATGTAGGCCTGGGCGTTTTTGGTTGTTTTTGGCGCCTGGGCGGTTTCAGCGTTTTCCAACTTGGCGTCGAGGAAGAAAGAAGAGGAGGAAGAGGAGGAGGAAGAGGAGGAGGATAGGGTACGAGGGTACGAGGCGTGGCGCGCGCGTCCGAGGCCCGAACACGCGGCGGCTAAGCTGGGGGCCAGGGCGGCCCCACCTCAGGCTTCGAACGAGACCTGCCTGAAGAAGAGGAACAGTATAGAGCGACTCCACCATTCCAAAACAAAGGCGGACTCGCGGGGACCTCCCCCAGCCCTCTACCAGCCAGGACTGGCAGCAAAATACCCCCGCGACGGCGGGGGAAAACGACGACACGAGGGCCCCTCAGTTTTAACCCTCGAGAGCCCTCGTGGGGCGAACATCCCAACCACGAGGGAGGAGGAGGAGGGAGGGGGAGGGGGAGAAGGAGGAGGAAGAATGATGAGGGGGAGGAGGAGGAGGAGAGTGCCTGATCAATTCAGTTCGTTCTTTCGATTGCGCTCGTGGCGCCTCCTGTCAAGCCAGAGGTAAAGAATCTCTTGTAAAAAACAGGTTTTTCAGGTCAGAGGCTGAGAAACCATGGCAAAACACAGGTTTTTCAGGTTTTTCAGGTTTTGGGGGATCTATGCGCGCCCAGGTGGAAAGATGCGCAAAAACATGAAAAACTTGAAAAACCTGTTTTTTTTACCGTGTTTGCCAACCCTCCGGCCTGAAAAACTTGTTTTTTACAGGTTTTGTCAGGTCAGAGGCCGAGAAACCACAGCAAAACACATGTTTTTTCAGGTTTTGGGGGATCTATGCGCTCCCAGGTGGATGGATGCGCAAAAACCTGAAAAACCTGAGAAACCTGTGTTTTACAGTGTTTGCTGACCCTCCGACCTGGAACACCTGTTTTTTACAGCGTTTGCTAACCCTCCGACCGAATGACAGAGCCCCCCAGCGGATGCGGCACGAGCAAGCTTCGACCATCCGTAACCGCTTTGGCTCAAGGTTTGATTGGTTCCGCGCTCCGTGCTTCGCGACACCATGGGGAACCCAAAGAAGGGGACACCCGCTTACGAGAAGAAGCTGCACAGCAACAAGGTACGCAGGGCCGCGAAGAGAGATCACGACCTCGGCAACAAACCAGCTGTGGCCAAGCTGGTGAGGGGGGCGCGCGCCGCAGCTCGCAAACCCTTGGTGGACAAGTTGCGCGACCTTGAGAGCGTCCTGGACGCGCGGTCACGCCGCTCCAACCAGCACTACAGGAATATGTACACCGCCCAACACAAAGCCGCAGCGGCAGAGGCGGTTGCCAACCACTGCAAGGAGCAGCTCAAGCAGAAGACGACCGCCCTCAAGGACGCGCGGGCGGAGCTGCGCGAGACGCAGGCTTCCTTGGAGAAGACGGAGGGAAAGCTTCAGAAGGCCAAGAAGGCGACCGAGAAGGCCGAGAAGGCGCTCGAGGAGGCCACAGCTCCTTGGGAGAGCTGGTGGCGGACTCTCCAGGTGCACATGAAGTGCCACTTGCCTCCTTGGGCGGCCAAGAAAGTGGCGCGCTTGGCGCGCCACGGCCCGCCCCGCGGCCACGCCAACGACTTGGGCTGACGTGCGCCGCGCGCGGCCTCGACTAGCAGCCCCGCCCTGGCCTTTGGAGCGACAGCCAAAAAACACACACCCGCAGAAGGAGAGAGAGAGAGAGAGAGAGAGAGAGAGAGAGAGAGAGAGAGAGAGAGAGAGAGAGAGAGAGAGAGAGAGAGAGAGAGAGAGAGAGAGAGAGAGAGAGAGAGAGAGAGAGAGAGAGAGAGAGAGAGAGAGAGAGAGAGAGAGAGAGAGAGAGGCAGACACAGAGACAAAGACAGAGACAGAGAAAGAGACAGGGACGGCGACAGCGACAGAGAGAGAGAGAGAGAGAGAGAGAGCCCGCTGATTGGGGGGATCCAGATTTTGGATGCCCCAGTCCGTTATCTTTTCCCATTGCTGTAGCCCGCAGCTTTGCGTTGGCTCAAGACCACAGGTGCGCCTCGCAGTCAACGTTGCATCGCGTCTCGTTGCGATCATGGCGAACCTCGTGGCGGGGGGCGTCAAGTCTCTGGGAGAGATGATCGCGGGGGACGAGTCCGCCACCGAGCAGGTCGCGCAGGCCTGGGGCTGCATGGACACTCTGAACCCGTACAGTCGGCTCGAGAAGCCCACGCGCTTCGAATCAGACCCGCCTGGTTGCTATCGTCTCCGAGACATGCCACTGAGAGACATCGACAACGTGGTAAAAGTGAAGCACGTCGTGGATTGGATCAAGATTGGAACGGAGTGCCAGGAGCTTCCCGACACAAGTGCTGTGGACATGGTCGACATCATGCGCCGCGGCGACTACGCGTCCTTGCCGTCTCCGTTCAAGCCGAAGAAGGACACGGGAGAGCTGGCGTTCACAATGCAGATCTACGTTCTGCCCACCGACCCTGATGGGGCGCAGTCTGTGCTGAAGTATATCAAGTTCGACGACCGTATTCGCGTGGACTTGGTGAAAGATGTGTTCATCGTGGGCACGCCGCTGACGATCCACTGGGGCCGCACTTCTGACACGAAGAAGGTTCGCAAGTTGTTCCACTTCATGATGGACCGCCTTGGGGGCGCGCAGTACCGATACTTCGTGCAGCCGTCCGTGAAGAAGGCAGCTGAAGCGGGCACTTACGACAGGATTGCTCGAACGGCTGGTTACGCCTTCATTCGCGATCATGGACCACGGAGCAATGCCCAGAACCAATTCGTCGAGTGGACGGATGATCAGATCCACCTCGAGAGCAGTCCGATCTTCGGGTGGACGCCTGGGGATGTCAAGGACCAGGCGGCTAAACGGACGCGCGGCGTAGAGCGCGTCCCCTTCGCGCTGGGCGCAGACCTGATCGTCGCGCCAGCTTGAGGGGAGGTGCTCGGGCGCGCGTCCGTTTGGCAGCCTCGCAGGAGAGCTTGCGGAACTACGCCAACGGCACCGTGGGCGCGCGGACGTTGATGTCGTGGTGCCACACTTTGAGGCAGTTCCATCCGACGATCCTGAACAACATCATTGCCCCCGCACTGCGCACTCACGATGTGCATTCGATCATGTGGATCGGGAAGACTCGCGTCGGGAAGTCGTCCGCTTCTAAGACGACCTGCTTCGCCATCTCGGCTTACCAGATCGACAAGCACGGCCGCTCTGACCTGAAGCCGAGCGTCGTCACATCCAAGAGGATTGATTTCTTTCGCCTCGAGCCAGGGAGCCTCTTCAAGCCCGCGATTGCCGACGACGCGGTGATGTCGAAGTGGGGCACAGACGACGTCAAGGCGTTCCACGACCCGGCCGAAGAGGACGCCTTGCTCTGGGCTCGATGGGGCGGCGCGCAGTTCATGATGAACCAGGCGCGGCAATCCTGCGTGAACGCCTACGACAAGGATTTTGAGGCCCGAGACTCTTCATTTGAAAAAAGGCACGCAGTGTTGCGATGGCCTCTGGCCTGAGATGCGCGACAGCATCCCAGACAGCGTCCACACTTCAGACTGGGAGCGTTGCCGCTCGTACTTGTGGGCTTGGGCGTGGCGCATGCGGAGGTCAGGCAACGACCTGCTCCAGGAGTTTGGCCAGTCTGTTCGCAGGGAGAGAGGCTGCATGCATTAAGTCGCCAAATCAGAGCGCGCAGCCCGCCCATGTGCAGAAGGCGCAGGCTGCGACCTCTCGCGTGCAGTTTTGTCGGCGCCTTGCTTCTCCGCAGCCCGCCCATGTGCAGAAGGCGCAGGCTGCGACTGTTCACGAGCAGATTTTGTCGGCGCCTTGCTTCTTCTAGAAAAAAACACCAAAACCGCCCAGGCCTACATCGGGTCTGCTTTCGGAGGAGGAGGACCCTCGCTCCTCGATCCTCGGATCGCCTCCTCCTCCTCCTCCTCCTCCTTCTCCTCTCCTCCTCCTCCATTTCTTCTCCTGACAAATCATTTCTCCCTGTCGCGCCCCGAAGCCAGTTTTTAGGGCGGGCCGGGCGTTTCGCCTCAGACCTCCTCACCATTTATGACCCTTATGACCCTGAAACTTTAAAATTAGCAACAGCCTCACAGATGGAGGGCGGATAGCTTTCAAAATGTGGCTCTCGCCTTCGCGCCGCGCACATTCGTTGTAAACATTTGCAAGAGTTTCACGAATGTGTGGGCGGGCAGTTTTTTTTTTGTTATTGGCTCTCGCCTTAGCGCCGCGCACATTCGTTTTACACATTTGCAAGAGCTTCACGGATTGAGGGCGGGTGGTTTTCAAAAAGTGGCTCTCGCCTTAGCGCCGCGCACATTCGTTTTAAACATTTGCAGGAGCTTCACAGATGGAGGGCGGATAGTTTTCAAAATGTGGCTCTCGCCTTGGCGCCGCGCACATTCGTTTTAAACATTTGCAAGAGTTTCATGATTTTGAGGGCGGGCAGTTTTTTTGTTGAATTTGGTTCTCGCCTTAGCGCCGCGCACATTCGTTGTAAACATTTGCAAGAGCTTCACGGATTGAGGGCGGGTGGTTTTCAAAATGTGGTTCTCACCGTAGCGCCGCGCATGTTCGTTTTAAAAATTTGTAGTCGCTTCACGGATTGAGGGCGGGTGGCTTTCACAATATGGCTCTCGCCTTAGCGCCGCGCACATTCACGTTAAGCAATTGCAAGAGAGTCGCGGGTTCCCATGATCGACGTACCAGAACTTGTGTTTTGGAAGGAGATTTTGAGGGCGCAGCAGTTACGATGATTCGCGGAGTTGAGATCCCAGGAATGGCGTTCTGGCACGATTCAGGGTCGTCAAGACGCAACAGTCAGGTTCATCCGTGGCGTTGGAATTCCGAGAAAAATGTTTTGGCATGTTTCAGGGTCTTCAAACGGTTGTCTTCCAACGAGGCAGGTCCCTCTGTGGAAATGAACCGATGTAGGGGCCTATGAGGAGGGAGCTTGGGGGGAGGGTTTATTTCAACATCGTTGGTGACTCGTGGGTTTACACTGGTCCTCCTCCTCCTCCTCATCCCTCCTCCTCCTCCTCCTCTTCGTTCCGCGAGCTCGGGAGCGTGCGCCGTCGTCGTCGTCGTCGTCGTCGTCGTCGTCGTCGTCGTCGTTGTCGTCGTCGTCGTCGTCAGCGGCGGCGGCGGGGTCCCACGGCCTGGATCCGAGGCACCCGGCGGCAGGGATCACGGATGCCTGGCGGCACGATGTGGTCCATCTCGGCGTCGGCCTTTGGAGTAGGAGGAGGAAGAGGTGCCGTAAAGATAGAAATTGTTGGCGCTCCGCGCGGACTCCTTGGATCCGCGCAGGGCCCCCCCAGCGGCGCCTCCGGCGCCGCCCCTGGCGCGCTCTGCGCGCCAGAGGGGGGCGTCCGGCGCAGATCCAAGAAATCTGCGCGGAGCGCCAAAAGTTTATGTATATGCCGTTCTTGCTTCTTCTACCGCTGCCCATACCCCCTCGGTGTCGCCTTTCGGGGCCTACTGGGAGGCCCTCGTCGCCACCGCTGGATTCGCCTCGAGATTCTGGTGTCACACGTCTGGGATCCATCGGACAGGGCTAGGACGAGGATCAATCCGTTCCAGAGTGTTCCGAAACGCTCTCGGAGCGTTCTGGAACGCTCTGAGAAGGCCGCGGCGCCCGAGAAATCTTCCAGGGCTGCTCGATCTCAGAGGTTCTTCATGCATTTCCACTCGATGTACTCCGCACATACGGGCCTCGCCCCCTGCCGCCGGCCCCCTCTCTGTCAGAATGGGATATATCAGAGGCGCGTCGGTGCGTCTCGGCGCTGCCTTGGCGCATCTGGGAACATCATGCGGGGGCGGATAGGTGTCATCAGCGCATAATGAGAGCTTGGCGTTATCGAAGACGCCTACGGCGAATCAACGCCGCCCCCTGCCTTTTAGGAAGCGCCTGCGTGGCCGAAGGTTGGGTCTGAGCTTGGCCAAGCTATCGGGCCACGCGTTCCCCGAGTGGGTTTCGAAAGCCTTCGGGGAACACGGAGTCGGGCGAGCTATCGGACCAGGTGGTTTCCGAGCCTCCGGGCCTCCTGGAGGACGGCCTCTCGCCGGCCTTTTGGGCAGCCTAAGGCCATCTTCAGGCCATCTGGGGCCGTCTTGGGTGCATCTTGGGGCCATCTTCACCGTCTTGGAGGCCTTCTTGGCCGTCTTGGAGGCATCTTGGAGACCATCTTGGCCGTCTTGGAGGCCATCTTGGGCGTCTTGGGGGCCTCTTGGGCCGTCTTGGGGTCTTGTTGGGGCCCTCTTGGGGGCCTCTTGGCCTGTCATGGGGCCATCTTGGAGGCCTCTGGCGGGCCTTTGCGGCAGTCTAAGGCCATCTTCAGGCCATCTGGAGCTGTCTTGGGTGCATTCTGGGGCCATCTTCTCTGTCTTGGAGGCCGTCTTGGCCGTCTTGGAGGCATCTTGGAGACCATCTTGGCCGTCTTGGAGGCCATCTTGGGCGTCTTGGGGGCCTCTTGGGCCGTCTTGGGGTCTTGCTGGCGCCCTCTTGGGGGCCTCTTGGCCTGTCATGGGGCCATCTTGGAGGTCTCTTGGGCGCTCTTGGGGCGACGTTGGGGGCCTCTTGGGCCGTCTTGGGCCGTCGGAGCGCTGAAAAGACGGAAATGCCAAAATCCTTCAAACACCAACGGGAAATCAATGATTTTGGCCTCTTCGGGCCTTCCTGGTGGAGCTCTTGGAGGCCTCTTGGGGCTCTCTTGGACAGTCTTAGGCCATCTTGGAGTCATCTTGGGCCGTCTTGGAGGCTTCTTGGACGAACTTGAAGGCATCTTGGACTCTCTTGGGCCGTCTTGGGGACATCTTTGACCATCTTGGGCTGACTTGGAGGCCATCTTGGAGGCCATCTTGGGCCAACGTGGCCATCTTAGAGGCCATCTTGAGCCGTCTTGGAGGATTTTAGGGGACGTTGAGGTCGTTTCTGGGCCTTTCGGGTGGCCGGCGGGACAGGCCGAAGCCCCAGTCGGAGTTCTTTTGGGAAAATAGCCAAAACCAAAAGCGAAAGTGTCTAGCACGCCAGGCACCCCTGTGATGAATCAACAGGGGGCGGCGGACACATAGGTTTAGTTCCCCCATTGGATCGAACAAGTACCACCTGAGGCAAGTCGACCGTATGCCTGGAGTGCCTGGGTTGTGGGTATGAAGCCTATGGCCTGTTTGTTGGGATCTCGTGGGATGTCTCTCGGGGGCCGTCTTGGAGGCAGCCTGGAGGCTTCTTGGGGGTTGTTTTGGGGCCTCTTGGGCCTCTTTCTGGTCTTTTGGGGGCCTCTTGGGGGTTTCTTGGGGCCTCCTGGGGGCCTCTTGGGGCGGAAGGCTCGGATTCTCGGTTCGTGTTCTCTCTCTCTCTTGGGCTTCTTTTGGGGCCGTCGTGGCGCCCTCTTGGGCCGTCTTCGACACCTCTTGGGCCGTCTCGGGGTGCTCTTGGGCCGTTCTGGAGTTCTCTTGGAGGTCCTTGGTCCGTCTTGGGGCGGTCTTGGAGGCTTCGAGGGCCGTCTGGCAGCGTCGGGAAGCCGAGAAGTCGAGAACGCCAAAATGTGTAGAACACCTTTTTGGAAAATCAATGACTTGGGTTTCTTGGAGTTCTCTGGAGTGGAGGCCTCTGGGGGCGTCTTCGAGGCCTCTTCGGCTGTCTTGGAGCCATCTTGGGCGTCTTGGAGCGGTCTTTGGGCGTCTTGGTTCCCTCTTGGGCCGTCTTGGAGGTCTCTTGGCGCTCTTGTCCGTCATGGGGACATTTTCGGGCCTCTAGGGCGATCTTGGAGCGATCTTGGGGTCCTCTTGGGCCGTCTTGGATCGTCGGAAGGCCGAAACGAAGCAATTGCGAACATAAATCTTTCAAACACCTGAGGGAAATCATTGATTTGGACTTCTTCGGGCTTTCCTGGAGGACGTCTTGGAGGCATCCTAGGCTGTCTTGGAGGCATCTTGGGTTGTCTTGGAGGCATCTTGGGCGCCTCTTGGGCCACCTTCGGCTCTCTTGGGGATATTTCTGCCGTCTTGGATGCCATCTTGGTCGTCTTGGAGATCATCTTGGCAGTCTTGAGGTATCTTGGAGACCGTCTTGGCCGTTTTTGAGACCTCTTGGGCCGTCTTGGGGCCCTCTTGGAGCTGGCTTGAAGGCCTCTTGGGCCGTTCTGGAGCCATCTGGGAGGCCTCTGGGACTAGTTTGGGGACTCCTTGGGCCGTCTCAGGAACAATTCAAGGTTTTGGCTCCCTCGGGCCTTCCTGGAGCACCTCTTGGACTCCTCTGGGGCAATCTTGTAACCTCTCGGGCCCATCTTGGGCCATCTTGGCCGTCTGAGCGGCCATCTTGGCAGTCTTGAAGCTCATCTTGACCGTGTTGGAAGCATCTTGGAGGCCATCTTGGCCGTCTTGGAGACCGTCTTGGGCGTCTTGGAGGCCTCTGGAGCCGTATTGGCGCCCTCTTGGGGCCGTCTTGGGGGCCTCTTGGGCCGTCATAGGGCCATCTTGGAGGCCTCGTGGGCGCTCTGGGGGCGAT